CGTTTTCAGCACCCTAATTTGCTGCTGCCGCCGTTTGCTGCTGCTGCTGCTGCTGCTGCAACACGCATGCACGCCTTCACGCAGCGCATCCTGGGCGCGCCGGCAGCAGCAGCAGCAGCTGCTGCTGCTGCTGCAGACACAGCAGCAGGGGAAACAGCAGCAGCAGCAGCACGTGCAGCAGAGTGGAACGGCTTGGATTTGAGGTCTCCTTTTGGGGTGTCTGCAGCAGCAGCAGAAGCAGCAGCAACAGCAGCAGAAGGAGGCCCTCAAGATCGGGTGTCTCTGCTGCAGTGGACTATGAAATGCGACACACAGATTAGCGGCTTCTTGGGTTATTTCTTCTGCTGTCTCTATCGCGATGTATATATGTCAATAGATCCACGCTGCAGCACTCCAGCAATGGTATCGTGGTTTCCTGCTCTGCTGCTGCTGCGGGAGCCGCTGCTGCTGCAGCAGCAGCAGAAGCTTCTCCTCTCTATCACACGCAAAGGAGACAATCATAGGGTTTGGATTGAGAGAGCTCTGCTGTCTCCTCACCCCACACCCGTACAGAATCTTAATGGGGTCTGCGTATCTATGTCCACTTAACTCGTTCTTCTTCTGTCTCCTTCTGTCTTTATCTGTCTCCTTCTCTCTTCATCTGTCTCTCTGTGTCTTTATCTGTCTCCTGCTGTCTTCTTCTGTCTCTTTGTGTCTCCTTCCGTCTTCTTCTGTCTCCTTTTATCGGTTTTTGTCTGTCTTTATCTGTCTCCTCCTGCCTTTATCTGTCTCCTTCTCTCTTTATCTGTCTCTTTCTGTCTTTATCTGTCTCCTTCTGTCTATCTCGCTCCTCCTCTCTGTGTCTGTCTGCTGTCTCCTTCTGTGTTTATCTGTCTCCTTATGTCTTTATCTGTCTCCTTATGTCTTTATCTGTCTCTTTTTGTCTTTATCTGTCTCTTTTTGTCTTTATCTGTCTCCTTTTGTCTCTTTCAGTTTTGTCTTTCTTTTTATTGCTGCAGGGGCCTTTGCTGTGCCTTTGTCTTTTTTATTTTATCTCCTTTCTCTGCTGCATGCAGCAGCAAAATGCATAATATATTCATCTGTCATGAGGGAACAGCAGCAGCAAAAAACGCAGCAGCAGCAATGCAGCAGCAACAACAGGAGCAGCAGCAGCAGCAGTTCGTGCTGCTGCTGCTGCTTCTGCTGCGTCTGCAGCTGCTGCTACTGCTGCTGCACTTGCTTGGGAGGGAGAGGGGTCTTGTTGTTTTTTGCTGTTTTTTATTAATTCTTTTTTCTCTATCGAGCTGAGCACTCAAGAGAGGCCCTCAGTCTAAACCCTAAACCCTAAACCCCAAAAGATAAAACTACGTTCGATTCCTAGCAACTAGCCATATGTACACCTAAACCCTAAACCCTAAACCCTAAACCTCCCCAGGGTTGATCCCGTCCGCAGAGCAGGCTTGACAGCCTTGGGCCCTGTCTCCCGTGGCTAGCTACAGCTAGCTGCAGCTAGATAGGCTTGCTGCAGCTAGCAGCAAGCTCTCTGCAGCTAGCAGCAAGCTCTCTTCAGCTAGCTAGCTGGGAGCAGCTAGTTCTGTGTAGCTACAGCTAGCTGGAGCCCGATACCTTTTGGAGGTGCAAGCTGCTGCATCAGGCAGGTTTGCCTACAGATAGCTGCAGCTAGCTGTAGCTAGCTGTAGATATCTGTAGCTAGCTGTAGCTAGCAGTATATTGCTGTAGTTAGCTAGAGCTGGCTGTAGCTACCTGTGGCTAGCTGTAGGTAGCAGTAGGTTACTGTAGCTAGCTAGAGCTAGCTGTAACCAGCTGTAGCTAGCTAGAGCTACCCATAGCTAGTTAGAGCTAGCTGTAGCTAGCTGTAGCCAGTGGTAGCTAGCTGTAGCCTACTAGAGCTTGCTGTAGCTAGCTATAGCTAGCTAGTAGAGCTAGCAACCTCCTGCAGGAGCTCAAAGAGAGCTCTAGCGGCGCTGCGTAGAAGAATGAAAGGCCTATAGACAGCTGAGGAGACCCCAAAGTGCTGTGGTTGTAAGCCTAGGGTTTAGGGTTTAGGGTTTACGAGTTAGGGTTTAGTGGAGACGGCTTGGGGTTTAGGGTTTAGGGTTTAGGGTTTCTTCATTCTGCCTTTGCCTTCTGTTGACTCTGCAGCAAAAATTTAAATACTTTAATTTAAACAAAAACGAAAAATAAAAAATGATAGGAAGTCCGCATGAAGCCAACTGTGGGGCCCGGCAGCAGCGCATGCACGCTGCTGCTGCTGCTGCTGCTGCTGCTGTTGCTGCTGCTGCCTTCTATGCCGCCAGCAGCCTTTACTTGTCTTTTGCTGTAAATGGTATTTTATGGGTGTAGAACGCATGCGGAATTTAGATCGAGCAGCAGCAACAGCAGCAGCAGCAGCAACTGCAGCAGCAGCAAAGTTAAACAGTCGGCAGCAGCAGCAGCAGCAGCAGCAGCAAGTTGACCCCGTAGGCGGGGGCGGCGGCAGCAGCAGCAGCAACAGCAGCAC